GGCGTGGCCCGCGATTGGCTGGAGAAGAGGGGCGGAGCCGTGCTTGCCAATGCTCGTCGTTAGGCGCCTGCCGAGGCGTGGGAACGCGGCCGCGCACCTCGGGCCTTGGAGCTGCGTGCGGGCGGGGAGAGGCTGCGGGGAAGGAGAGCGCGGGTTTGCTAATTCCAGCTTGGGAAGCGCGCGGAGGCAGCCACGGCGGGGACTCGCCGGCGAGGGGCTTGTTCCGGAGCTCTGGTTTCGGCCCTGCTTTGCACCCTACAGTCTCGCCCGATAAGTTTCAGTCCTGTGTTTAAAGAATAACCCCAAACGCGTGGCTGAGTGTGAGCGAGCGTGTGTGACGTCGGGAGGCGCAATAGCTTAACCAACCGCCCCACACGGCTGTCCCTTGTCTGGAACGAAACTGCTGACTGGCTGCCCTGGGCGGTTACGTTTGCCCTCTGGGGTTTTTGAAAGCCTTAAATCAAATTTCTTTTCTTCCTGGCAACTCCTGAGCCTACTTCCGCGGCCTTTGGGCTGTGGATAGATAAAGACGTGAGTTTCCCCGACCAGATACTTAACCGCTGGCGGTCAGAGGGTCCAAGAGGTCGGCCACCATACGATTTTCAATTGGTTATAAGTCAGTTATTGCCATATAAGTAGACTGTGGGCTGGAGTTGTGTCTACTCTGACGGTAGGACGGACTAGAGCGATGAGGCATTTCAACACAATTTTAGTAGTTCTTCAGGTTCGAGTTTTTCGGGCTTGGCTTATCTAGATAATTGCCTCAATTCTCCGCTCCTGTTGTGTGTATTAGAATCCGAGATGTGAAGAACGCGCTCTGAGAAACTGTTCTCTAAATTACGAATTGGAGTCTAACACTTTTTAGCGTACTGGATAACATGGGTTGTATAAAACTCTAGAAGTGCTTTCCAAATGTGTTTCAAGCTCTTTCTCTCCACGGTCGGTAGCATTTTGGAACTGAGTATGCCGACGTGCCTCTGCACCGGCAGGAACTGAGCGAGCGGGGAACCTGGGTCTGATGGCCCGCCCACGGGTCACGGTGGTACCCGGAAGCGGGTGGCGGGTTGGTCCGGGTCGAGCCGAGACGCCACACATTGTGGCCGGACACTTTCGGGCTTAGCCGAGAAAAGCCTCTCAGAAAGGGGTGTATGTTAATTACCACGACCCACCGCCACGGCACAGATTTGAGAATCTGCCTGGGGCATCCCTTTTGACACTCCATTGTCTCCCCACCCAAGATGTAAGGAAGAAAGAAGTGGGGAAAGACTGGCCGGCGCGGGCGGGGAGAAGAGAAAGGATGAGACTTGAAAGGACAGGGTCCCGGGGCGGGGACAGGGGCCCGGGGCGGGGGCGGGGCGGGGAGCGCGGGCTGGATCATTGCCGTTGCAGAGGTCTTGCAGCTACTGTGTTCAGCCCTCGTTAAAACACAAAACCCCTTCCCCATACGCTCTGGTCTCTTTTGTGTCGTCCTCACTGCGGTGCCTGCAATAACCGTGTGAAGAGAAACCCGAAACGTTCTGTCCTGACTTCTGAAACTTAACCCCAGGCAAATCACACGGCCGGGCGCGGGCCGGGCGGGGCCAGGCAGGGGTCAGCGCAGGGCCGCCCGGCCGCGGAGGGCGGTGACCCCAGCTCGGCGTTCGGCCCTGGGGCGGTAGCCCGGCCCGCGCGGGTCTTTCGGGCCTCTGCTCCACTGCAAAGCGGGCGGCCTGAACGCTGTGTGCGGGGCTAAACGGCCCGCCCCCCACCCTCTCGGGCCTCTTTCGACGCCGCCCCTGGCCCGGGTACCCTCTGCCTCGCGGATCGCGAGTCTTGTGCGCTCCGGTCGCCCAGCTCCACCTGCTGGACCCGAGCGTTGGTGACTCCGGGACAAGCCAGCCCCGGCCTGGCGTGAGCTCGACCTTCACAACTTTAGCGAGGACTGCAGGGTTTTCTGAAAGCGAATGGCTATGGGTGCAATTAATGTTTGCCACACGAGCAAATTAGCGTGCGCTTTCAAACGCCTGAGGCAAAACCTGAGAACGTCACTGAAAAAAAATGAGTTCCTTTTCACCATACTAGTGTAATTACAATGACTGCGAAAATTGCAAAGAGCGGAATGGTTTGCTTGCGGTAAAGTAGCAACTGGTTGAAGTTTTTTCGAATTTGTCTTTGAAGACTTAACCGCTGTACCGTGTTATAAAGAAAAGTGCATCAGGAGGTCAGAAAAGCACTCACGAATTTAATGTCCCTTCGAAATAAATAATTTTAAGCAAAGAGTCATATTTTTAAAGCGTTTACAACAGTGCCTGGTACCTAGTAAACCTATATTAGTTTGATTAAAAAAGAAACAACAACAAAACGAATGAATAAGGCAAAAGACCTTGGCGTTTTGGACAGTATCAAAAGAATATGCTTATTTATCTGCAAAATACTTAATCGCAATTAGGCAGCACCAGATTTTTCCATTCGGTCTTTTATTCCCCTCAAGTGTTCCATTTACCCATCCCCTAGTTAGGCGTCTCCTCTGTCTTCAACTGAAAGTGCATCTCGGGTCAGAGGGAGAAACACGGATGAAACTCTTTGAAACGCCCAAGCTTACTTAAAAAACGGTCAGGGATCGTCCGGGGCGAGAAGAGGCGATGAGGGAGGATGGGGAGGTGGCAAGTGAGAGAAAAGAAAAGAGAGAGAATGAGACGACGGCGGGATTTCAAGCCTCATCGCCCCTCTGCCACATTCTTTTCAGCGATGGTTGGTTGAAGGCTTCCTAAGAGCCCGGGAAGAAGAAAAGATGTCCGCGCACAGAGCATACCACAGTTCTTTCTTTTTGAAAGAGTTGTACAATGAGATAATTAGACCGAAAGATACCAGGGACTTTCCTAGAAACGAAATGTCATTAGGAAGGAAAGCCCAGAACGACGACTCTAGAGTGAGGGAGAAGGGGAAACAGCCGCCTTCCCCAAACTGGTCATCTCGCCCGTATTATGTGCTTACGTGATTTAACTCACTTAAATAGAATCAGAGTGAGATGCAAAGTGTAAAGATCTAGAAACATGAGTACCGATTTCATCACATTTAGTGGCTCCCCCCCCGACTCTCCCCCTACCCTTTTAATATAAATAAAGTTACAGCTTTCGCACCTGTATTGATAAGTTTGGCGATCTTGACCTAGTCTTGCTACACAAATTTTGAGTTTTGTTGCACAAACTAATGAAAAGATTAATTTGCTGTAATTCTGAAATTTCCCTTGCAGCATTTTCGAGACAAGCCTGGGATCTTCTTTTATTCTTCTTGGTCTGCTTTAGTCTTCATTAGGGCCCTCTGATTTTTGAAGATCAGTAGTTGCACTTAGTTATTTTTTGCTACTCTGAATTCTTTGCGATGCTGCTTACAATTATTTAAAAAATGTTGGCCACTCCAGTGTTTGAATATGCTTAGAAAATCACAAAGGCATGACACTACCTTAAAAAAGATGTTTTAACTTAGTTTTTCAATTAAACGGGACAGTTCTCTAAAGGATTATTATTTCAGCCTAAGAAGCCCAATCTGAGAAGTCCAATATTTTGCTCAGTCTGAAACATTATAATTATCTACACAGCTTTTGCCTGCAAAAGGAAGGCAAGCAGGTTGAAGTGCTAGTCTATTTGCAATTACTGGGGCAGGTGATAAGCACGTGCGTATCTGTAGGCAATCTTGTTGGACTGCCTTCTTTGACTACAGGGCTATTGTGAGCTGGCAATGCCTTAAAATGCGTGAGAATGCTTCCCCCTAGGAGTGGAAGGCAAGGGCAAGATCCTTGGAAATTTCAATACCTTTCCCAGCATTAGGCTGGCAGTTGGCAGGCCAACGTAGTGTCACTGTGTGACACATATCTGCAAGCCAGTAAAGCAAAACAAAGCTGAAAGCAAAGGCAAATTTAGGCCCACCAACCTTGAAGTCATCTCTAAAAGAAAGCTGCTCTAGCAGTTAGCAATTATTCTCCCCTGTTCAGCCAAACAAAGTGCATCATATTTCTTGGCTTGTATTTGCCCCAGTGCAAACTGCTTATTTATTGCATCCAAGGCTCCAATGTAGGAAATCTAAGACACAAAGCCCTGGGAGTTAGAAAGTTAGAGTTGATTTCTGTTGTTAGGGGTAATATATTCTAAAGCTTTAATTTGTGATGTTATTAGTGCTTAGCTCATGCCCACGGACGCCTGAGAAGCAGGTTATATATTCAAGTAACCAGTTTTCTGTACGCCGGTATGCAACAGTTAGAAGATGACACTCAGTATATTAACTTACTCTTTGTGAGGATTAAATTAATGTTGGCAAACCTTTCTTGAAAAGAAATTTTAAACTGCATTTTCTTGAATTTGGTTTGATTGACAGATTTCTTTTTCCTTCCCTTAAGGATACGGCAAAATACTCACTTCTCTGATAAAAATGATCTTTTAACTAATTGTATCCTCATTCTCTGGAATAGTGCCAGGCACATAATGGGTGCATGATAAATGGTTTTGAATGAATTTCTTGTTGAAATGAATGAACTCTCTGCTTCTTTCATATATATGTAGGACTTAGATACATTGGAATAATAAGATAGAAATAAGTAACCATATACTAAAAGGTCATGAAAGGATGAGCAGCAGGAAAACATTTACTGTGACTGGGCCCTTAGCTCAGGCCTAAGCTTCCTGGCCGCCAGGTTAGAAAGAGAAAACAGTGAGTTTTCTAATTCTTATAAGCAAAAAGCTTATTGTTTTTCAAAAAAGAAAAACTTTATCCCGTCACTGAATTCTAAAAAGACTGCTTGAAGTACACAGAGTTTGATTTTTATTTACTGTAATTATTTAGAACTATTATTTTCTCTGTCTAAAATTCTCCTCTAAGTATCTACATTAATTACAACATGA